AGAGGAAGAGAGAGAGAGAGAAGGGGGAACATCAATTGAGAGAGACACATTGATTGGTTGCCTCCTGCACACACTCAGACCAGGGCTGGGGATTGAGCCTGCAACTAAGGTATGTGCCCTTGGCTGGAATCAAACCTGGGACCCTTCAGTCCATCGGCCAATGCTAAAACCACTGAGCCAAACCAGCTAGGGCTACATTTCATTCCTCCTATTTCCACGTGATTCCAATGTGGCTACTAACCATGTGGCCTGACATTACCTACCAGAGAAGTGGACACATAACCCAGACTAGTCAAAACACCCCTTTCCCTCCAGCCCACCCCAGGATATGATACTCTAGGAAATAGCGTGTGCTGAGCCAGGCTAAAGAGAGCCATTCTTGGGATTCTTACGGGTCATGAGAGAAGAGCAGCTCTTCTCTGAGGTCACTGGAAGGAAGATGTAAACCTAATGCTAAATTTCAATCTGACTGGGGTTTCTATTACTTGTAACCAATAGTCTTGCTTATTATAGCATCAGAAAATCACAATCAGTTATAGTTACTTTCAATTCTTTCTTTTATTTTTTCCCTGGATTAATTTGCTTTTTTCTACTAAAGTAGAATCCTAGATTGTAAAATACAACTGAACAGATTAACCTACCAGGGAATCCTTATTGAATTAGGTATGATATCCTAAATTAATAACAACAAAAGGTTTATGTTTTATTATTTTTTAAATCCTCACCCAAGGATATACTTTTATTGATTTTTAGAGAGAGAGGAACATCGAGAGGTTGCCTCCCACACATGCCGCAACTGGGGATCAAACCTGCAATCTAGGTATGTGCTCTGACTAGGAATGGAAATTGCAGCTGTTTGGTGTATAGGATGATGCTCCAACCAACTGAGCTACCCGGCCAGGACAAAAGGTTTAGGTTTTAAAAACAAGTCCCACAAGTCTAACCAAAGGAATTTTCAAAAAAAAAAATTCCAGAAACCTAAAGCTCTCTCTAGGGATGCATTAGACGATGGAAGGAAACTGAGCACTGAAACTGTATCTACATCTAAACACTGTCTCCATCATTCAATGGCTGTGTGAACTATGTAGCTTCTTGAAACTTGTTCCTCCCATAGAATATGAAGATAATACTCATCTTCTAGACTGAGATAAATAAATGAGATGTCACCTGTCATATGGTGTACATGCCCCATTAATGTATCTCCTTGTACCCATTCCCAGACTCAACTTGGTGGTACTCTCTGCTTCTCAGATTAATTACAAAAAGAATTAATTTTATCTGACATTTACCATGTGCCAGATACTACTGTAACTGTTTTACATCAACTCATTTAATCCTCATAATCCAATGAGGTAGGTACTATTATCCACCTTTCTCTAAGCGAGGAATAGAAAGGCTAAGCAACCTGCCCAAAGTGTCCCCCTCTCAGCAATTTTCAGACAGGATCAGAAGCCTGGCTCTTGCCATCACACTATGACACCTGTCTCAGAAAATACAGCTATTTAATGTTATAAACTGACTACAAATTATGGTTGTTTCAGTCAATTCACTGATTTTACATGGTCTAAATAAATTAAGGAATCTTGGTAATTAAATATGGGAGTGACTGACTGGAAGAGAGAATTGGAGAAAACAGATGACTAAAGGTAAACTGGGCCATGTATCCATTCATTCAACAACATACTGAGTGCCATTATATGACAGATACTAATGTAAACACTGAAAATGCTCCAGTCAAGAAGACAGACTAGTGTCTGCTTGAATGGAGCAGGTGACGTGTGAATAAGTTCCAGGCAGTGAGAGTACTGCAGACCAGGAAGTCTGTGAATACCTGAGGAGGGAGTACATTAAATGGGGATGCAAATAACAAGAAGCTCACCCTGAGAAGATATGGGGAAGTACATTCCAGGAGAGGAGACAATTAGTACAGTCCTCGGGTAGTAATGGCTAACCATGTTTATAGAATGGAAAAGAGATCAGTGTGGCAGGAGTACATAAGCTAGGGGACAGCCAACAGCCGAGAGACTGGAGATACAGGCTGGGGCAGACAAGTGAAACTCTAAGCCTGTGAAGACTGCTGGTACTGCAGCAGATAGGAAGGGAACAAAGCAAGAGACTGGTAAGATCTGATTTACATCCCCTGGGTTTCTTTCTGGAAGCAGACTATAGGGGGCAATGGTGGAGCCATGAAGACCAGCAGTCCAGGTGGAAGGTGCAGTGGTGGTCTGGGTGGGACTGGCAGAGATGGAGAGTACAGACTATTTCGGGCTTGTCTCCACTGAATGTGGCCCTTTGCAGACCACTTCAGCAAGTACCATGTGTTTTCTCTCCTCAAGATGACAGGGAAAGACTTGAAATACTGTCTGACTTGGAGTTCTTGTCTTCAGAGTTGATAGTAAAAAATAAGCTAGTATTTGGCAAGAGAAAGCATAGCTTACTTTTAGGGCAGTCTGCATCTTTTTAAAAGAGTTGAATGGAAGAATAAACAGGGACAAGGGTAAAACATGCATATTTTTCTGAAGTGTATAATTCTCAATTTACCAGCCTGGAGTTGACATTGGCTCAGAGTTACTAATCCCAGAACATCTGAATTGAAAGGGACCTCAGAGGTCATTTAGTACAAACTAGCACTTAATAGTTGTGTGAACATGGACAAACTTTTAACTTCTCTGAATTCAGTTTCTTGATTTGTAAAATTACAGTAATAAAACGAGCCACTTTCTGGGGTTGTGTAAGGATGAAATAACCTGATATACATTAAAGGGCCCAGCACAGTGCCTTGAGCCATAACTTCCCTGGCTTTTTTTTCTTATTTGAGGCTCTTCAGTTAAGAGTTCTGAATCACACAGTAACTTGGTTGGAGAAGAGGCTAAAACTTCAGGACCCCTAAAATTCCATTATTTTCTCTAGTTCGCTTGTCCTTTGTGGAGAGGCTGAGCTGATAGAGCTGATAAAAGTTGATCAGGGGTTAAAATTTGGGGAGCTGGTTTAGACCCACTGTCTTCCCTGCTCCAGTGTCAAGAGCAACGCACTTACCAGACTGGCATGACTTGTCCTGTCCCCACATCAAGGTCATTCCCACAGAGCTCCTTTCATCCTCTTGCCTGGTATGCCATCTCTTCCCTATACTCTCTGAGTCGAGCCTGAGGTCAGTTCAGTCATTCCTACTGGCTAATGAGCTTCATAGATTCTTCCTCCTCTGAACTTCTACAAAGTTGTAATCTACACTACACAACTCTGCCCTTAATCATAGACTCTCACGTTGTCTGTTGTTGTTTCACCTGCCCTTGTCTTATCATTCCAATCTGAATGTAAGCTCCTTGAGGCACATTTCACACTTTAGTTGTGTCCTCAAGAGAATGTGGCAATGATGAGCCCATTGTCTATGGGCAAAAATACCTGTGGACCAATTGACTGGACCTTAAGGGTTCTTCTTTCCAGGGAGATTATACAGTAAAAGGCTAAAATAATCCAAGCACTGAGGACAGTTAAAAAGGCACTGAGTGGGCTCCATCTGCCAACCCCAACCCTTGGAGATCAAAGTTGTTATCCAAAGAGCAGGTGTGTGGGAATAGTGGAAGTGAAAATCTGATAGCTCACAACATACCTTCCTTATCTAGACAACTGTCACAGTTCTTTCCTCACTGGGTAGTGCTTTTCATTAATGTAACAAGAGGACCAGGTGTCACAATGGTAAGTTAACTTTTCTCAGTTCACTACTTTGGCTCCTTTTTGGCTACTTCTGACAGTCTGACAGCCTGTTTATTCACTAGGATGAGAGTCTGGATGACGGAAGTGACTATTTCCTAATTGCGTGGTGTCCCTCTCCTGTATCCTGTATGTCCTGAAAATACCTATCAATGTAATGGACTTAATGTCACCCCTATGAGGACTGACTTCCCTCTCCTATTAATCCAGGGCTTTTTGTTCCTTTTGAATCAGTAAGACTGCCTCTCATGAAGCTCTTTCAGCAACCTGCAGGTAGGGATGCAGGATCATCAGTGTTTGGTGACCTTTGACGGTAGGCATTGTTATATGTATCTATCAGGCTTTGTTTTTTGCTTGCATAATTTTCTACCTCCTGCCCTATCAAGGTCTTTCCACTATCACATCAGCCAAGACTTGAACACAGCAGTAAATGAGGTTTTGGCCCTGTGCCATGAGCCCTCAATTCACCAGAGAGATGCTGAGGCTACAGACAGGTGGGAACAGTGGTCACAATTTTGTCATCTTCAGGAGGCAAAAGTCTGAGAACCCAGGGGCACAGGGTCTGGTTTTAACTTGTCATTGACCTTAGGCAAGAAATGTGACTTCTATAGGCCTGTGATTCCCTTTCTCTAGTAAAGACAAAAAAGACTTATCCACATCGTGTCCCTTATATCGTAAGATCCCACCATGAGGTAAGAATGCAACTGTCTGTGAAGCTGGGGAAGTGATTTAAGTAAATGCATCCATTCTTATTATCATCATCACTGAGTAATGCTATAATGCAGCCTGATGACTTTGGGGAACTATTTATAAAAGTCTTAGAGAAAAAACAAGACTAGAGGGAGATGGATGGGAGGGGGTAGGAGAGGCAGAATGATAAAATGTATACATAAGAACGCAGTAAGAGGCCTTAGAGCTGCTCAAATGGAGAAAAGGGCCCTAAGCTCAGGAACTAAGTATGGCCTCAAGTGAAACAGACTCACCGTCCTCAATGTCATAGGCATAGGCTGAGAGGCGCAGAGTGGTGGCGCAGTACTCGCATTTGAAGCAGCTCCGATGGAAGAACTTGCCCTCAGCACTCAGTCTCTCCATCACGTAGACACGCTTCTGGCAAAAATAGCACGTGTCGCTGCCTCCCAAGTTCTGTGGAAACTCCTTCTTTATTGAGCCCTATAAAGGGGTATGGGGTAGACACATCAGGGCAATTTCTCTCAGGCTCACCTCCAGGAGGTGCATGACTTTTTCTGTAAGTGAAACCGACCCTTACTAAGAGATTTTCTTTTGAGGCCGACTAAGATGCTCACTTTGCTCCTGGCTCTCCCAAAGAGCAGTGGCACTACTACAGTGACTATCACATGTCCCACATGAATCCATGTGAATCAAGCTGAGAGGAAACCCGAGTCCATTTTACAGAATTTCATAAAAATCAAACAAAACTATTTTGACAGAATTGTTTTTGAAGGTAACATAAAAATATATACTAAGTGTTCATGTAGTTCTACATGGATGTGGGTCCCCCGGACTCTAGAGCAATCACTTGTAGAGATATTAAGTAAGCTTTCCCATACACTTTAATTAAAACAACTATTATAGTCCTAGGAATTCAGTTACAAAATTCAGACAACCTCAAAAAAAATACCACTCAGCACATACTGGCTCTATTGTTACTGTACTACTTAGAATGCAGCAGGTTTGTTTACCAAAGCTGTGTTATATCAAGAGACAATGTCCTTAGTATATATCTTACCAGTTCCTTCTTGTCTAGAAGGGTTTTGGGCTGTTCTCTCCTTTGAAGCTGATTGGCTATCTGCTCAGCCAATGAGCTCACTCCACCCGTGTACATCTTTATATACTTCTATTGGTTGGAGATTATAAAATGACCAGAATAAAGGGAAATGAGAAGGAAAAAATAAGTTAAGAAGACAGGAAAAAAAACTCTTTGAAAGTGAATACAAGGTGCAGCAGCAAACCATGCCCACACAGTGTCCACAAACAGGAAAACATGGTGGTAAGAAACACAGGTGTCAGTGCCCAGCAGAGGCAGGAATAATTAAATCCAGTAAGGAAGTCTTTCATGTCTTTTTGGAATATACAGTGCTGTGGAATGGGGAGGTGGGAAGACAGGATAGATGCAGATACAGAAGAGAGTAGGAAGGGCATATATCCTAGTGGCTCAAATGACATAGAGAGAGCTTGAGAGGAACGATGCCATTCATACAGCTGATGCAGGACTGTTGACAGTATGATTCAAGGGTTGGGGAGGGCTTATAAAATTATTTCCTCATTTAGAAAGCTCATTCTTGCAAAGGCTGACTCTCCACTTGGGTAACAGATAACTTCCTTCCTCATTACTAACACTTAGTTCATAACCTCTGTCACATGCATCAAACACTCCTGAGCTTTATCTGAAAGACCCCTTCTCTGCCCATTCTTGCTGTTGATATTTGTGTTCTTAGCACCCAGGCACTAAGGACAAAGCTTTCCAGACTGGATTGGGCATCTCAAACACAGATGCAGGAGGCTAACACCTGTAGCATATAGATAAGTTGCTCAGGTTAGTCTTGAGAGGTCAGAATATGTTTCTATTCCAGAGGAGTTATTTTTTTTATTGGTTGAAAAAATATAAAAGAAAAATCCAGTCAACTCAATTCTCTTCCTAGCAATGATGAAGAAGGAACAGGAAGAAACTATCAAATTTCAATTGTAAACCTTCCTGCTAGGGAACTCAACTTCAAGCCTGTCCCAGGGAAAGAGGTCAAAGCCTTGCTGGCAGTCCTTTAGAGACTCCACGTCCAGGTTACCCTTCCATGTGAAGATGACCAAGACACCTAGTGTGTGTGATACTCCTTTCATGAACTATGTGGAACAGGTGCTACATGCCAAGTGTAAGGAGCCTAACTCTAACTGACTCAGAGCACACCAGGAGCAGTTGTCTTGGGGATGCCAATAACTCTGGTTAGAAATTGGTTTGTATGGACAAACACACAAAGCCATGTGTGAGGGAATCACTGGCCTGAGCAATGGCATGCCCTGGGCTGGCAGGGACAAACAAGAGAAACACTGTAGGGGAAAACTAACTTTATGTAAAAATGGATAAAGGATTCTCTAAGGTTCAGCTGGAACTGAGGAGTCAATTATATTTTTTTATTTAAGATAAGGAGATTTCCAAGGATTGGTGACATTTGCTCCTTTACGCTATAGCTTATACCCATTAGTGGTTGAGAATAACAAGTGGCTTAAGCTAAACCTTCTTCAAATTAAAGTCATTAGGAAAGCTGAGGCCTGGAACAGACAGACACCAGACAGAGCTGAGCAGATCGTTTAACAGCTGACACTGAAGGAGAAAATTGTACTTCTTTCATTCTGCAGCAGGTGAGGGCATGGGCCAGATGTCAAATATGAGGCTGGGATACTGAACAAGTCCTGGATGTTCACTGCTCCAAGCCCTTCTCTCCCACCAGAAACCGGCACTGTCATATCCTATAATCAGCAAAGACAGTTCAGGGCTGCCTCTGTGCGAAGGCATCTGTCACACTCAGTTCTCAGTAATGTGATTACACTGACAAGCATCCCACCAAGAGAGGTTCTATTTGTTTCTGGCATAAAAAGCAGATGGTTTCCTTCTCCCTACTCTTAAGAAATAGTGACGATATAGCAATCGCTGGATTTAGACTATTTCCACCACACATGCATATGTTTCCACACATACACTCCATGGTCTGCTACAGGCACGAGAACAGGAAAGATCCTCCATTCTCTGTAAACTACTATATAGCTGGGTTGAGGTCCACTGTAGGACATAGCAGGACTCATTCCTTAAGTGATCACAATTGATGAGGCACCTGGGACACTGCATATTCACCACTCCATTTAAGTGGATTTAATTACACTGCAGTTCATATTTTGTAACACATATTAATATACAGACACTTGGAGTTAAAAAAGCTAATGGCTGAAAAATGTGTATCATTTGATATAGTTGAAATATAATGAAAGTGGATTTATGTCATCAGAACTTGATGCAATGAAAACTAGTAGCCTCTTTAACTTAGTTGTATGCTTACAAACCCCACATGTAAAACAGACTGATGCATGCATGTGTATGTGTGTGTGTGTGTGTGCATGCACGCGCGGCCACACACACATACACAACTGGATTCCTACAGGAGACAAGCCGAAGTTTAAGAGCTCTGCAACCTCCCTGGGGCCAGGTGGCATTTGTGTAGGTGAAGTGAGCAGAGGCTGAAGAGGAAACACAGTTTTGCCCAGTNAGGGTGTAGGTGAAGTGAGCAGAGGCTGAAGAGGAAACACAGTTTTGCCCAGTTTGAGTCCTGCTACCTGTCGAAGGGAGTCAGAGGAGGGAGAGGCGGGGCGGCTGGAGGAGCGGAGATTAAGAGAAAGCTCCCACTGGTCAACAAAAAATCGACGAGAAGGTTCAGGCCCTGGCTATAAAATACAAGATGGAGAAAAAGAAAATCAAAGGAAATGTTAAGTTATACACTGACCTGAACATAAGGAATCTGGCAGTTTTACTTTTAGTATTTTTTTAAATCCTCACTCAAGGATACTTTTTCCATTGCTTTTCAGAGAGAGTGGAAGGGGGAAAGAGAGAGAGAGAGAGAGAGAGAGAAACATCAATGTGAGAGATACACAATGATTGGTTGCCTCAAACAGGGCCGGGGATTAAGCCTGCAATCGAGGTACATGCCCTTGGCCAGAATTGAACCCGGGACCCTTCAGTCCCTGGGCCAACATTCTAACAACTCAGCCAAACTGGCTAGGGCAGGAATCTGGCAGTTTTAGATCCTTTTTTTACTTTAGACACTTAGGTAACAAATGTAGTAAAGAAATACCCTTAGTACCCAGAAGCATGAGTAGCTCATTCAAGGCTTGCATTTTGCTTTTAGTTCACCATCCCTCCTGCTTCCAGGGATGCTTGTGCTGGAATATGCTCACCATAGCCACGAGCACTCTGGAAGCCCGTCTTTTCTTGCCTGGTGCTCTTACTTCATTTGCCCCATATAACGCTGCCAGCCACAAGGTGGCAGAGGGCAGGGGTGATGTCTTGCTTGTTCACCCACATAATTTGTGCTCTGCAGAGACTCTCACCAGCCTGAGCTGGATGGGATTTCTCCTAGGTGGGAGATACTACTACCTATCACTTCACTAGCCTTATAAATAGCAGACAACAGAGACAGCAAATCTAGAGTGAAGCTTGCTCCTTCTACATAAAGGCTAGGAATGTGGGCTTTTCCTCCTCTCATTGCCAGTGCTCAGAGAAACTGTTCACCAAGGAGCCAGCCAAATCCCAGAAATCATCTGGAGAAAAGACTTCAGGCCCCCAAGTCCTCTGCAGAGTGCATGCAGCATGTGTACAAAAGTGGGCCAGGATCTTCCTCAGTGAGAGGCTCATGCAGTCCCTAAACAGTGAGAAGGTGGCAGACGGCTTTGGCAAACAACAACTGCTTAGTTTCCTAGCAGGTTCTGGGTGAAATACTTACAGAGGAGGGATGAGTACTATTATGGTAAGGAGACCCTCTGTCCCTCCAGCTCCAAGCAGACCCAGTGCACCACTTCCGCCCACACTAACTTCATAGCTTAGAGGGGTGACCATGTGAGTGTCACCAGCTTCTGCTCAGCCAGCTCAAAGGCCCTCAGCTCAGCACTCAGAGCGCCAAGGAGGAGCTGGGGGAGATCACTGTAGAGGACTGCGACCCACCAGGAAGGAGAGAAGACTAAGCTTCCCCAGGGGTGGCAGAGCAGTGGAAGCTAATGGGGGAAGGGAAGAGTTGGGGGGGAGCAGGTGAGTGCAAAGGCACAATTAGGGGATAGTGGAAAGTCCTGCAAGAGAACGTAAGAGTGACCCTTAAAAGCATCTAGAAAGGCTTTGCAAACGCCACCGCCCTGGAGCTGCCTGTGACCAGCCATGGTGAACCCCACTGTGTTTGACATTGCTGTCGACAGCAAGCCCTTGGGCTGCGTCTCTTGAGCTGTTTGCAGACAAAGTTCCAAGGACAGCAGAAAACTTTCGTGCTCTGAGCACTGGGGAGAAAGGATTTGGTTATAAAGGTTGCTGTGGTCACAGAATTTATTCCAGGATTTATGTGCCAGGGTGGTGACTTTACACACCACAATGACATAGGCAGCAAGTCCATCTATTGGGAAAAATTTGAAGATGAGAATTTCATCCTGAAGCATACAAGTCCTGGCATCTTGTCCATGGCAAACACAGGACCTAACACAAACAGTTCCCAGTTTTGCATCTGCACTGCCAATACAGACTTAGTTGGATGGCAAGCATGTGGTCTTCGGCCAGGTGAAAGAAGGCATGGATATTGTGAAGACCATTGAGGGTTTGGAATCCAAGAATGGCAAGCCAGCAAGAAGGTCACCATTGCTGACTGTGGCCAACTCTAATAAATTTGACTTGTGTTTTATCTAAACTACCAGACCATTCCTTCTGTAGCTCAGGAGAGCACCCCTTTACCCCCATCTGCTTGGGATGTTCTATAATCTCTCCGCAGTTCATTGGGTTCCATATTTTCCCCACCCCTTCCAAGTCTAGCTGGATTGCAGAGTTAAGTTTATGATTATGAAATAAAAGCTAAACAACAACAACAAAAAAGCATCTAGAAAGGAGCCCTGCACTGAAGAATCTGGAAACCAGCCCTTTGAGAAAATCAAAGAAAACTCCCTGCAAGCCTTATTGCTATCTTTCCTCCCGTGCACTGCAGTCCTAGACTTCTTATATTTTCTCCCTGCCAACTTCTTGTTTTATTCAACATATTTCCCTCTGTTCTTCATTTCATTGTTTCAGTAAAAATCATCAAAACCTCATTAAATATGTATTCCCCAAAATGTAGGGCACTGCCCTGTTCAGTGAAAATGCGTAGTTTTCTTTCTGAGAGGAATATAGCCAGAGAAAAAGGAAGACAGAGGCTGGGCACACACAGAGCTCAAGAGAGGAAGCAGTCCCAAGAGTGAACAAAGCAGAGCTGGGCCATGGGTGAGGAGATGAAAATGACCCCGATCTCCACCTCAAGCAAGTCTCCTTCCTGCTGCCCCAGCACCTGGTCCCAGTCTGCCTGGTTCTAGCTCACTGACAGGTACAGGAAGACAGCACTACTGTTAACTTCCCAAAAGATCTGAGAAGTAATGGGATTTACAGCTGAGCCATAATTGCACTTCTCAGAGAGCAAAGGCAGAGGGGAGGTAAAAGTTTTTAAAAGACCCATATAAAATTAGCAGCTGCACAGCTACACCCACTCACAGGTCATCTTTGTGGGTAACAATAACAACCAAAAAAGTTTCATAAAATAAGCAGGCTTTTTAAAACAGGCATCTCTGCTCTTCATCAAATTATACAATGGCCAGGTGTAAACAGCAATTTTCTCCTTTAGTTTTTCAGAAAAACTAGCTAAAGCCTTTCATTTGCGACCCCATCTTGTCATCGCCTTCTTTCCTGTTGTCTTCATACTTGAGAAATCCCCACATCAGTAAGAGCTCTTTCAGTATTTCTACTTCAAGCTACCCCACTGTCAAAAGAGCTAAGCAAATGTCCCCTGCTTATTGATCTAGAGCCTTGCCCTAAGAAGCCAAACCTGATAGTCAAATGCTATTCCATCACTGGCACATATATTGGAATGGGAAAGATGGGCAGAAATGGGAAGTCCTTAGGCTTTCTGGAATAGCATGGACTTTCAGGATCTGAACGCTGGGTAGGTGAATGCTCTACTGTGAATGCTACTTGCATGTATCAACACTGTTAGCAAAAAGAATTCTGGTTCTTGGCTGGGTGACAAGAGCGTGCAAAAAGCAAGGGGAGGAGGGACCATCCTCACCTTCCCTCTGCCACCCCCCCGCCAGCGTGCCCCATATGTGTGGCTCTCAGCAGCATCCCATGCCAGGGTTCATGCTCTTTTACCCTCTCATGATGGGGACTCTGCTTGCCATGGCTGTCAGCATCAAGATCCCTGTACGTCTGTTGGCAACAAAGTAGAAATTTAAGCTCTATCTAAATGCTCTATTTGGAACTAGTAAGTGACAGTGTCAGAGTTCATTTCAACACAAATCCCTTGCCTCCTACTGAGCCCCATCCCAAGGAACCACAATCCTGTCTATATCTAATCTGGTCAGTTACACAATAAATAAAGAATTAGTTAGTACAGCCCTGGCCAGTGTGGCTCAGTTGGTTGGACATCATCCTGTGCACTGAAAGGTTGCTGGTTTGATTCTCAGTGAGGGCACATGCCTGGATTGTGGGCTCCATCCCAGTAGGGGGTGTGCAGGAGGCAGCTGATTGATTTTGCTCTCACATTGATGTTTCTCTCTCTTCCTCTCTCTATAAAATAAATTTAAAAATTGGAGCAAAAAAAAAAAAAAAGAACTACTTAGTACAAAGATGGAACAAATATTTCTTTCACAGGGTGGCACAAGATCAGAGGCTTTAAGTGGGAGGCTTAAAAGGAAAAGTGTGAGAGAAGGGTGAAGCTTTCACAAAACAGCAGAAAGGGAAGGTGGGAGATGGAAACTGGCTGGAATACATGATCGGTACAACAGTCCAGAGGGAACCACAGGGTGGGGGACGGTCCCTGTGTAGGAACATGGGACGCATACTTTATTAAAGGGAGAAGTGGACAAAGACTGGAAGTGTTTTCAGTAAACAGGAAAATGCACATGACTGGGTAGGAACCTATAAGACAGGAACATGGCTGCTTCCACTGACCTGAGGAAACCACTCAAGCAGCAATCATGGGGACCGGGGGACAGGGATGGCTGCTTCTATCACTCTTCGGATAACTGACGATTCACCTTATCGCCTTGTACTGGTAGGAAACTGATCCAAAGCTTCCACCATGTCTACTCTTGTCCAGGGCCCATGAGCATATTGTCTCTCACAGGCAGGATGAGGCCAGAGCTTGGGCTCCAGAGTCACACCACCCAGATCCTGTTCCTGGATCCATCTGTGTGACCCTGTACAAATTACCTCCCTACTCTATGCCTCAGTCTCCTCATCTGTAAAATGGAGATAAGAGTACCTGCCTCATGAGGTTATTGTAAGAACTGCTTGAGATCATACATGAAAAGAACCTAGAATACTACCTGGGCCACAGTGAATGCTCCTAAATGCTATGTAGAGAAAAGGCACAGGGTAGCACTACACCTACAACAGCTTAGTTCTTAAACCCAGCAGCACAGGTTGGGCCTTTAAAAATCAGACACATTACAGAGGAGTCACTTTTTATTTTTTATTTATTTAAAAATTTATCTTAACTGATTTCAGAGAGAGGAATGAAGAGAAACATCAATGATAAGAGATTCATTGATGGGCTGCCTCCTGCATGCCCCCAACTGGGGATCGAGCCCGCAACCAGGGCATGTGCTCTGACCAGGAATTGAACCTTGATCTCCTGGGTCATAGGTCAATGCTCATCAACTGAGCCATGACAGCGGGGCAAGGAGTCACTTTTTAAATAGGCAACCTTAGTCGAGAAAATAACTTCCCACAGATCCTACCTTTAAAATTTGTATTTTATTTTGTAGGGATATACTACAAAGGTCAACAAAGCAATTCTGTAAATATACTTTATGTACGTATGCTTGCCACAAATGTATGCTTGTTGTCCTCATTAACTTTATTGCACTTGTTAACTCTGCTATAAAGCAGTTTTGAATGATCAGCCTGGAGTCTGGATGGGGTGGATGGGAAGGGCAGGTGCTTGTTGGGAGAAGTTGGATAAGCAAGAGGCAGGGCTCTCAAAATCAGAAGGTGGCAAACTCATATAGTTAAGCCCTTACAAAAAGCTTCCCAAAGTTCATCCTAGCTCAATCTCCTTGGGTAGCAAGGCAAAAATGACTGCTTTAAATGGGATTATATAAAAATGTGTTGATCTATGGGGTTTTTGGACCTCATGTCTGTGATATTGTTTAAATTTTAGTTTGTGATTGTATGGTTGTATTCCCAGGACATAGGGCTAGATTAAACCATCCAGGGTTTGACTGTAATATGTACTATCCTGAGGTCCAATCAGGAATTTGCTCATTTGTGGAAATAAAGGTTGCTTCCACTACAAAAATGGTTTCTACAAATGTTTTTTCTTTTTTTAAGTTGTCATTGAAAGGAGGGAGTCCTGATTTGGTCTCTACCCCAGCCACCTACACAGGCAGGCAGGAAGACACAGACAGGAGAGTGGAGCATGCAGAGGAGGTCACCTTCTGGCCGCCATGTGCCCGACAGGGAGGTGGAGTAGGGGATGGAGAGAGTGCGATCACTTTTTTTGGGCAGGTCCGAGAACGCTCCTTTTCCCGTCGCTTTTATGCCAACAGATACAAACAGAGAGAACACTGGTGAAACAGTGGCCACATTTAGGCTGGTTCTGGAAGGAACAAGGGGTATTTGCCAAAAACATCTCAGAGGCCCCTTTCCTTGCCCCTCCATCCTCAAAAGCAAAACACTATATGGTCAGGGAGGGGGACGTGTCACAGGCTGTAGTTGGTCTTCAGGTCAGACTTGTGCTGTTTGTTAGGTGCAGCTGATCTTGAGGTCAGACTTGCAGTGTAATACTTTCTAAACACCAGGGATCAAGGGTATATTCTTCTCAGTTGGTTATATCAGGGAAGTTGGGGGACAGAAGAGATGAGCTTGGTTATAAGTAGAGAGAAGGGGCACACAGGCCATCATTACAAGAGTCATGCAGACCCTAACAATGACTTGTCACCTGCACACTCAACAGGAGCAGAGCAGCACTCTCCCTCAGGGCCAACTATGAGAAAATCCTGCCATTACTTCCTCTTCTTAATCCCTTAACCCACATTGAAAAGGTTCTGGAAAACTATCAAGGAAATACAAGAAAGTACAGGAAATAGAATATAAAAGTTAAATATCTTTCACCACCTGAAAACCATACCTATGTCCATGGATTATCTCTCCATCTTGCCCCTCTCCATTGCATTTCCTTCCTTGTGAATCTGACTGAGAGACCCTTAGGACTTAGGAAACAATCACATATTCCTAGGTCAGAGGAATCCTCACTTCCTTGAGCCCAGAATGACCATGTGGGGCAGCACACAGGCCTGAGAGAAGTAGTAGTTATGGAAGTTGTTGGGCTGGGGAAGCAGCTCCTCTGTCTGTTCCTATCTCTCATGACAACCTACTTCCAAACCAAGGCTGGATAATGTGCAGTTTGTCTGCAGGATGTACTTCTGAGATGAAAAGACAAAAGGGTGGAGAGGGAAGAGCAAAACTGTTTACATAGGAAGGTCAAAAAGAGAAGTCGCTGGCAAGCAAAGTTGTTATTAATTTCCCCTTCATTGTATGACCTAAGTGAAAACTGGTCCTGGTGCCAAGGCAGCCATCACTGCCGTGCTTGCCATAGCCTCCTGCCTCAATTTGAATCATGTCAAGAGAAACACAAAGTGAATCATGATAAGGTGCTGCCAGTCTCCCCCTCATTTCTAAAGGGAGATAAGTGGGGCCAGTAGTCAGGGTGAGTCAAAAGCAGAGGGCCCCAGTGCACCACTGGAGTCCCTCTGTCCTCAGGTTTCTGTAGCATCTGGCATTGCCTTCCAATGTTCTATCTTTTAAGAAAGAAATTTACAAGGCCAAGATTCACGAAACCATCTCTGCTTTAGTGTTGAGAAAAAATTATATGTGACTACAATACATTTCACATGGATGAAAAAACTGTGTTATAGTTCTTTCACAGCCAAGTAAATTTACAATTCCCAACTCTATACAACATTAAGCACACAGGATCTAACAGGATTTCATTGCTTATGGTTTCTCACTCATCTATCCAGCTGCTCTGTCATCCCTGGGGCCCACTCCACAGAGCCCATGTTTGAGTTTAGTTGCTTTAGTCTGCTGCCTGCACAGCTTAGCAATATTCTACCTCATTGATCGTGACCATCTATTTACCTAGGTGATAAGCTAGCTGTATGTCTTCCATGTAGCACTGTGCACGAGGCTAGAAGGGCCAGATGCTTCATAAACAGGAGAAACACAAGAAGGCTCAGAAAGACCAAGCTCCTAATACCCCTCAGGATAGCTGCATCAGGCAGTGAGCTGATGTACCAGTCTTCACCAGGACAGAGGCCTTGGCTCACACTTCTTGCTCTTGATACTTCCCCACAAGCTCACCCACAGTGGCCCAGGCACATGCCATTGACTCATTTGTTCATCCCTCTGCATATATTACAGTTGTCCATCCTTCCTCTTTGCTCCCCTACCTCAAGCTGCCTTTGTGAGTACTGTAAGAATCTGGAGTTCAGGAGGTCTAGGTTAGAGTTCATGTTCCCCTTCTGCGGATCCTCAACTAAAGATTACTTTTCAATTATACCTTCCACCTAAACTTCAAGGAAAGGGTGCGGAAAGAAAATGGAAGTAAATTTCTAATGAGCACTCCCTGGAACTCCTGCAGACCTCCCCGAAACAGAGGGAAAGAGGCAGTCTGGCTTCATAAGTTTCGACATTGTTTCCAAGCTTCCATCTCAGTCTCATGGGCCCTGCTTTTAATGTGGCATATTATTAAAAGAAAGGTTAGAAATAAACATTACCCAACCAGTTACTTCTCAGTGCCTCCCAGCAATAGTTGTCACTCTATAGCACAAGAAGGCACTGAAGGCCTAACTCCTTTGACCTCTCAGAATTTTAGTCCTAAATGATACTAATCTACAAGATGAGTCCAGTGCACTCACTGGAGCAGAAACTTGTCAGCTGTGATATGGAGGAGGTACAATAGAGACCTCCAGTCCCTCCGATGTTTCCTATTATCAACCAGGTGCCATTCCTCCATTTCAGTCCTATTCTGTACTGCTTACGAGAAGCAGCTTTCTAGGAGATCCTATAACTACTTTAGTGAAATTTTCTAAAAAGAGTATTTTAAATGTATACAAAACACCAAGAAAATGCCCATGATCATCTCTGCCCAGGTTTGAACTAAATAAAAATCATAGTTCAAGATGATTACTTGGATAACATTTTCCTATTTCTCAGGCTTCTCCTTCCAATGGTCATAAGGACACATGTTAACAAGAAGTCAACTTGGGACAAAGGTTATAATAGTAAAACCCCAAAGGTTAGGGTAACTGAACAATTTACCACATAGCTTTAGCTAGTTTCATCAAATTCACAGGCCACCCTGACAACTGGTTTCTTAAATCCCAAGGAGTTAAATAAATCATGCAATATAATCAGTATTGTTTATTACAGCTTTACCAGAGTCATTATTCAAATGAGCACAGAGATGTCCTGTGCTTGAGCTGGGATTCTAGAGTACAGGCCTCTACCCTGGCTGGCTCAGGAGGAGGAATAGGGTGGGAAAGCCTGGGGACACAGCACCCATTCGGGTTCTTGGTCAGTTTCCTTTACCTGTTTCCACTGTGGGGTGGGAGCAGGGCGACCCTGCTCAGGTAGGCAGCAGGACGGCTGGCTGACCCCACGCTCTTGTGTTGGCTGTGACACACAGGCCAAGTATGGGTGGGGGACAGGACATGGAGATAAAACAAAATAAAATATATTAAAGTAGAAGACATAAAAAAGGTACTTGTGGAGGACAAACACACATCTATGTACTGGGGTGGTGATGGTGGTGAAGACATAGAATTAATTCTTAGAAAGTTACACTTATAAAGGAAACAAAATACCCTGCTCCCCAAACCAAAAGCAAATGTAAACAAACAAAAAAGGAAAACAGAAGCTGTAATTCTCATTATCCTTTTCCCTAGGTCAATGTTCTGAGCCTAAACTACTAATTCTGGTTTAGAAAACTAATCTTTCACTCAAAATAAGGAAAGCAACCCTCTCTTAGAGGCAAACTTCCTCTGATGGAGAATATTCCAGCCTTCCCGAGGTGGGTGGGACCTGGGCTGCCAGAGCTGACAGGGAATGAGTATCATTATCTTTTCTGCGAGCCATAATCAATGGCTAGATGTGAGAAGTTAATTCAGGCCAGACTCCAATCACAGTCACTAAGTCAGTGTCCACTCTGTCCACAGGAACAACCGTTGATGCGTGTGGAGAAGATGAAGAAAGAGGGAAAGGATGCAGAGGATGGGCTCCCTCAGGTCACCAGGGAGTTTTACAAGAAACTTTCAGTGTGAATTTCAAAATCCCAGCATCTCCTCTTGTAAGATGTCTTAGTGACTTTTAGACAAGCAAGAGGAGACAATGCCTAACCTAAACATCCTTCAAAGGCTCCTGTCTAGCACTCTCAGGCATGACTTAGGAGAAATGCAAGTCAGTATCCATGAGGAATATTTAAAATGTTCATATTCTCGACCTAGTTCAAGGAGAGCCTAGGAAAATAGTTTGCAACACACAAAAGCAGCTTTATAATAAGAATATTGATGAAAAACGACTGAACATCCAGCACTAGAGGAGAGTTAAGAGAAGCATGGCACACACTGAAGATGCTTGTAAAGAGTTTGAAATGATGTGGGAATATGACCAAAGTTACATGAAAAACCCCCCCACAAAAAAAATAATAAAAAAGTGTATGTTAAGAATGACCTCAACTATGAAAGCAAGAATGCACTAAAGAAGAAAGACCAGAAAGAACTATAACAAAATATTAACAGAATGAGAGGTATTTTAATTACCTTTATCATACTTCTCAGCATTTTCCTCAATAGGCATGTACTTCTTTTATAATTTAAATGTGAACATATACATATGAATAGGTATATAGATATAAATTAAAAAATCCCTCTGCTGAATTTTGCCAGATACCTCATCCCTGAATGGTGAGGATGAAGCAGTGCTGAAATCATGAAGAGCTTCTGAAATGTTCTTCTCTGCTACAGTCACACAGGGGGAGAACCAGATACCAGTTTTGAGTCCATGAGTCCTCAGGTCTGTAACATATCCTATCTCATTCAACTGAAAAGATCCCTCATTCCTGTGTGGTCAGACCAAGAGACAAGTGAGGTGTGAGATGGGTTTACCTGTCTCCTCATGCCAGTGGACTGTGGGGGTGCATTCTCTTCAAACTTGGCCAGCAGCTGGGTTGCCATGTACTTCACCTTGTTCTGGTTGCTGAGGGCAACATCAGTCCTCCTGTCGGTCAGAGTGCTCACCAGTGTGGCTCTTCCTCCTCTGCACACCCGGGGCACTTCCTCCTGATCAATATTGACACCCAAGAACCAGCCTCTGTTAGAGGAGCCCTCAAATACCCTTCCCACAAAGGAGAAGTGCAGCTAGGGCCCTGGCATGGTAGCTGGTATTTCTGCTTTAGGTTGAGCTTAACAGCTCTCTTCAAAGTTCTAATCTCAAGATGGAGTATAAAGAGGTACTCAGAGTTTTACTGATATTGTCACATCCCAGCAAAGCCAATGCCCTTTGCCAGATGTGTGATTCCAAAGAGACAGGAAAGCCCTGGTGCACATGTGTGTGTGCTCCCTTGGATGCTCTCCAAAAAATTAAAGCCAAAAGCCCACAGAAAAAGCATCTGGCCACGAAAATTCTTGTAAAGGATGAATATGAAAAGATCTAGCAACACCAATTTGAAAATTAAGGATTTAAGACAAAAAGGGCAATTCAGTATAATCATTCTAACAAATCCCAGATAATTCTCACCTCTTCGGATTGACTGGTCTTTCTCCTCTTTCCAGTACCTTCCAAATCCTTTTCCTTCTTATCCTATACCAAGAAAGGAGCCATCTGCATTATTCTAGTCACTATACCTTGCCATTGGGTTTGCAGCTGGTAAAAAAAAACAAAAAACTTTTCCATTTACCTTGGGAGAACGCTTCCGAGAGATAGTCTGCCCAAGTTTGCTTAGGAAGGAGATGGGGGATTTGGTGCTGGCTATCAGGACTGCTTTCTCCTCAGCATTCAAGTCCAAGGCATCTGTGAATAGAAAGCAATGTTCAAGGATAGCATTGGAGGGGCTTCAAAGTACTGACCAGAACTACCCTGCCTGCAGATGGCTCCTGGAACCTTGGAAAGCTCTAAAGGTTCATCTGCTCTGACAAAAGCATGAGGAACTCAGCAGGAAATTCCGCAAAGAAAACACATACTTAGGTTTACACATTGAGCCTTCTCTTTTCCATCAACATAAACAATATCAACTCTTTCCCAATCTACTTCAGTCACAAAAATCTCCACTTTTACTTTTCAAAAGTTGGAATTCCCTTGTGAATGTTAGTTACAGCAGAGTGCTGAAGCCTCACCTTTGTGATAAAAATTTCAGGGCAGAGGGAAAGGGCGGGAGGGCAGGCAGCTCAGGGCCACTGGTTTGGTATATACAGATACCATGCACTTAGCTGCACACTAAGGGGGCTCTCCCTGAACATGTACACTGATGTTAGAGCTGTGGACTTTTGCTGTAAAAACTGTATATCTAATCAGAAAACCCACAAACATCTATGAGAGTACATGGGCTGAAAGACACTGGAGAGTTACAAACTGTGGATTCCAATGTTTTATTAGTAACAATAGTAATTTTTAAAATAATTGAAACTAATGATATATTGCTAACATTTATTAAGTGCTTCTGTTTGACAAACATTCTTCTTAGCATATCACAATCTAATTATACATAGAAAAAAACCCATTTTACAAATGAGGAAACTGAGGCACAGGAAAATTGAGTAACTAGCTTAAAGTTGAAAAGATGTTAGTACCAGGATGTAAACCCAGGTTGGGTGCCATGCTCAACACTCTTAAAGCATTATGCTATACTTATTCCAAGAGACAATGAATGACAGAAATATTTTTTGTAGCATGCTGACAGACTAAGGCATTGGGCTGAGGGTCAAAGAAAGATTTTTGGAAAACACTAAAATGTAGGAGAAGAAAGAGAAGCCAGAGAAGGATCAGTAATAGAAAGAAGAGTGAGGCCAGGCCAGTGCAAGACCACAGAAGCCAAGGAGAAGAGAGAGGTTCAAGAAAAAAAAGATGTCATTCCATAATGCTGAACAATGTAAAAAGCCAAGGCTTGCCTAAGAGATGAGAAATGATAAAAGAACATGGATTTGGTGATTTTTCATGACCATGGAAAACAATCTGGCAGAGGAATAATGACAGAAGTCAGGTTGGAAAGTGTTACAAAGTTTAGGCAGTTGAGGAAGTAGCCTATAAACATGAACCACTTTTTTTCAAAAAGGCTAGTTCTGGGAGAAGGATATGAGAAGGTAACAGAGTTAAGGAAAAAATTCTGGATTGGAATGATTTTTACATATTTATAAATTTAGCAAGAAAGATTTGGGTAAGAATGAGTGGTTGAGAAGGGAAAAACAGTGGAGCAAAGGCCGAGGGACTTACCCTGATAGCTGATCCACAAAGACAGAGTAAGTACTTGCTTTTGTGGGTGCTGATGTAGGACACGGTTAGGGAAAGAAAGAAAAGCCAGGAAACAACATAGGACACAGAGAACTCCCACACCAGAGCCCTCAATCCTTACCGCTGGAGGGGAGTGAGTCTCTGAACATCTCATAGAACTGGGTCAGGTACATCACCATGGACAGCTTGTCAGGCTCCCCAACCGAGGCCATCTCTTTGCCTGTCATGATGGGAGAAATGCCCAGTTCCTTTTCAGCAATATCAAAGGCCAGCTGGTTATTCTTCTCCACATTTTGTTCATCCAAAGAATCAAAATCTCTGAGAAACAGGACAAGGAAAACGTATCAAGATGGAGTGTTTGTCCCTACACCAGAAAACAGTATCAAGAAGTCACCATCATTTCTTGGTTGCTCAGCTAAAATCTTATATGCAATGCCTCACTGAAATCTGAGAGCAAACCTGAAATATAAATCATCCTCAAGGAGAAAAAATTATTAAAGATATGCCCATAAAGAAAAAAAAAGAAGTTAAAAAAAAAAACTACCCTCACTTTTCCAATTATATAAATTTCTTACTAAAAAGTAAGCTTAAGAATAGGAACTGTATTGCCCGGCCAGGCATGGCTCAGCGGTTGAGCATCGACCTACGATCCAGGCGATCAGGGTTCGATTCCCGGTCAGGGCACATGCCTGAGTTGTGGGCTACAGCCAATCAATGACTCTCTCATCATTGATGTTTCTCTCTCTCTCTCTCCCTCTCCTTCCCTCTCTGTGAAATCAATAAAAATATATTTTAAAAAAGAAAAAGAAAAAAAAGAATAGGAACTATATGAGAGGAAACAAGATGGCGGTGTAGGTAACAGCTATACCCGCCGCCTCCCACAACCACATCAAAATTATGACTAAAATACAGAACCACTATCACTCAGAAACTCCTGAAATTTGGCTGAAGAGACCTACAACTAGGGAACTGAAGAAGCACCGAGAGCAGTAGGAGAGGCGGAGATGCGGGTGGATCGGGGCTGAATAATGGAGATGGTCGCAGGCAAACACCTGCTGCCCAGGTTTAAACCCAGGAGGGAATCTTGACAGTGGAGGTTTCCCGCAGGAGTGAGGGGTCCTAGACCCACATCAGGCCCCCCAGCCCAGGGCTCCAGGGCCAGGAAGAGAAATCCCCACAACTTTGGGTTGTTAAACCAGCGGGGACTGTCGCTGAGGGTCACGGAGGCTGTGGGAGTCCCAGGCAGCTCCTCTTAAAGGGCCCGGCACAGACTCACTCAGATGCGCTCCCTCTGAGCTCCAACACCGAGCAGCAGCTTGAAAGGAACCTGGGACACTTGGGGAGGAACTAACCTGCCTGAAATTGGGAAGAGAGCTAGAGGGGCAGCTTTCTCCCAGGCAGAAGAGCTGGCAGATGCCATTGCTCCTTTGGCGAGACCTCCCCCTACACAGCCGGCAGGCAGGCGCCATATTTGAATCTTCAGCACTTGACCCACACCTTTGGCCCTGCCCTGGTGATTCCCGGAGGTCCTGCCCCTCCCCACCTGCAGGCTCATCCAAGCCATTTCCAGTGGCTTTTCTATACAAGTGGCCTCTTGAACCTTATGCTTAGGACTTTCCTAAAATCCCTCCAACAAGCAACAGTGTGCCTCATTTGGCTTGATAAGTGGCCCCAGGCCGGGCACTAGTGGCAGCCTGCATTGGTTCATAGCTTGCTCTCTCCTGGACACCACCAAGCCCAGCACAAGTAGCAGCCAACTATGGTTTGCTGTGTAGCTCATGCTGGGTGGCCCTGGGCAAGGCACTGGCACAGGCTGACTTTGCACCTCCCAGAAGGCCCCAGAGACAGTGCACCTGGTGGTCAGACTCGACCATGCTGGATTATAACCCTACCACATCCACGAGTGACACACTCCAGGGGCGCACTTGGTGAAAACTAAAGCTCCATTGAAGTAAATCCTGCTCCATAGGGGTGTCTCCAGTATAGCAACTCTTTGGCTGTAGTTGCAGCTGGTCCTCACAGCCAATTGGCCTCCAGGTCAATTCCTCCTAGTGACAATAACAGCAACCAAGGCTCAACTACAACAGGTCAGAGCACATAGCCCACCCAGGGGAGCACCTAGAAGGCCCAGCTCAGGTGACTGGGGAGGCTGAGCCACTGGTACCTACAGGACACCTACTACACAAAGCCACTCTACATATTCCAAAAGACATAGCAGCTCTACCTAGTACATAGAAACAGACACCTGGAAGCAGCCAAAATGCGGAGGCAAAGAAACATGTCACAAAGGAAAGAATAGAAGAAATCTCTAGAAAATGAACTCATTTAAATGAAATAGATCCAAGCAAACTAACAGATACAGAGTTCAGAATAATGGTTATAAGGATGCTCAAGGATATTAGTAAGAGTATTATGGAAACAACTGAGACCATCGATGACAGAATAAAGTTCCAATTTGAAATGAAGGCTACACGAACTGAAATGAAGAATAATTTACAGGGAATCAACAGTAGAGGAAGCTCAGAATCAAATCAGCAATTTGGAGCATGAGGAAACAAAAAACACCCAACCAGAAGAGCAAAAGGAAAAAAGAATCCAGAAATATGAAGATAGCATAAGGAGCCTCTGGGACAACTTCTAGAGGCCCAACATTCGTATGATTGGGGTTCCAGAAGGAGAGGAAAGAGAGCAAGAAATTGAAAACCTATTTGAAAAAGTAATCACAGAAAACTTCCCCTACCTGGGGAAACAAACAGACAAGTCCAGGAAGCACAGAGGGTCCCAAACAAGAGGAACCCAAAGAGGCTCAGAGCAAGACAGCATAATTAAAATGCCAAAGGTTAAAGACAATGAGAGAAACTTAAAAGCAGCAAGAGAAAAGCAGTTAGTTACCTACAAGGGAGCACCCATAT